CCCCCCCTAGATCCATCCCTGGTGTATGGGCTTTTCATTCAGGGAATGCAGGGATCCAGATAGGGGATAACTGCAGATACATTGTATAACATGGCATGAAGTAGCAAAAAATAAAAACTGTAAAGTGAGCAATAAAAAATCCTTCTGCAATAGCTTTTTTTACACAATCCAAACGATGCATAGACAAAACAATCACAGATACCTTTTCTCCATACAGATTTTCTTTCTTAACCCCAAATGAATTTCAGACCTTATGTTTTCCACTTCATTTATTTCTTTCTTCTAAATGTAACCTACCTTCTCTGTTGCCTTTGTCCAAAATATTGATATTAGATAAAGGCATGCAATTGGTGGCGAGAAGTGTGCACTAACGGCTTGGATGTAAATGAATAACTGACCACCTTGTACGTTCTGCACAACAGGAATCCACAAGATACCAATGATTGTCATGATAGCAACCATCACCCTAAAGTTAAAAAGACAGTAGTTGAGCCAGATCAATAATATATAATTTACCATGAATGTATTATTTGTTTTCTATAGCTCTAAGTATACCGTTGCTGGTTTTAAGGAGGTTCTTAAAGGCATACCACTTTATTTTGCTCCTTATTAAGGGAATTTATGGATAATTTAACAGCAGGACAAGACAACCATTATTTAGGATAAACAGATGGTTTTCCAGGCTTTAAAGTTTTGAGCATCAAACATAAAGGTTAGCACATGAACAAAATTACTGTCTAATACATGTATGTATGCTACATACAACAAACAAGACATCAAGTGATATTTTGCTATGAACTCAATACTGTTTTAAAATGTCTTAGCTGAGGAACTACCTTCCAACAATCATCAGTTCCCTCACAGATGCTTTCTTTCTAAACAAGCCATACACATCAATAGTGAAGAGAGTGCTGGCACTGTTAAAGATGGATGTCAAGTCACTCATCAGAGCAGCCATCATCACTGCCATCATAAGACCACGAAGTCCTGCAAAGAAAAATATATGATAAATTTTAGATCAGCAAACACCTCACCTGGAATAACTGAGTCTAACATAACAAGCAATAATCCGAGGTACATACCTGTGGGCATTAGTTTTAGCACAAGCTCTGGGTATGCAATGTTTGTACAACCAACTTCACTACCACAGATCTCCATACACTTCTCTGGTACGCTGCAAGCCACACGATCTAAAAAAACAAAAAGAGTTTAATTTCTTTGTCATTGTCATTTCAGACAATTCAGGCCCCTAATCAATAAATTCATTAAGATATGTCTGGCCGTCTTTTATTATCAGTTATCATGCATGAACAGCCATGAACACAATTAACATGTAGGTGACTAAATATTGGCCAGTCATGATGAGTTGACTGTTGGCCGATTAATCACCGCCAATCTGTTGAGTTTCTGTCAGCCAATGATGAGGCAGCAAATCATTTTTTCAAGTCTTTCTGTATGTCGGTCGATGCATAGACAACTATTGACCAACAATCAGCTGATATCCATGAACACTGCTTTTACATATATCTATACTCATTTGTAGGTGTTACAGTATATGGTACCTGGTGATAAGACACGGCTGATCATTCCTGGCATGACAAGAGTGAAGAGAGGTAATATCTTGATGTATCCAGCTAGAAGACATCCACCTTGTGCATGAGATAGACTCTTGGCAGCAAGAGCACGTTGAACTATTACCTGAGAAAAAGAGAAAAATAGTTTAATTTGATAATCAAAATCATAGACACATTCAAGTAAAAAAGGTAGTTACTCATATCTAATATTCTATTCAAGATTCTTTATGGTACAGTATATATATCAGGAATAATGTCTTTTCATTTTTCTAGTTCCTTCAATCTGTTCTGTTCTTTTCTTTATTCATACCATTCTTTTATTGTTAGGTTTGTGTTAGGATGTTAGGTCAATTCCTACCTGATCAGCACACCAGTACCAAATAGATGCTATAGTCTGGCCAAAAATAAATCCAGCCCATGGCATATCAGAATGCAGAGGCTCTCTTAGCATGGTGAATGAGTCAGGACGAGGTCTTCCACATGTACTGTTTGAATACAGTGTGTCATTGGATACAGCTAGCATGTACTTTTCTTTAAGGCCACTGTAACCGCCAATCTCCGCAAATCCTTTTCAAAATATTGAAATGAAAAAAGAAACTTAATTCATTTTAATCTTTTCAAGTAAAATTCTGGAGTATCAGCTGTCATCTCTCTGCACCACATTTATTTAGCTTACCCATTCCCATGACTGTCAATGATCCAACAGACATCAGAAATGTGCAAAGAGTGTCTGTATAAATTACAGCAGCAAGGCCACCTGAAGCAAAAGATTTGGAATTGGTTGATTTACACACAAACACCAACATACATTTTCAATGGCATTCCTATAAGGACATTGTGCAACTTGGAAAAAGTTCTTTTTTTCATGATTGAATTCTTAATAAACTTTTAATGATTGTGTTCTGCGAATGTAATTTCTGATGTTTTTTAGGTCCATCCTGCTGCATCCCCCCACCCATCCACCAATTATGACTTTCATCAACCACTCTAAACCCTATCGAAATTAACCTACTTTCAAAATACAAGATATAGAAATATAGATAAGTTATATATAGTGCTTGGGAACGAGGTTATTCAGGGTGAAAGACCCTTGGAAATAAATTCAGAAAAATTAATTTCCAACCTCGCTGGGAATTGAACCCACGACCTTTGGAATTGTACTACCGATGCTCTACCAGCTGAGCAAGAGGTCAGACTCAGAGCAAGCCGGTGTAAAAATAGATGTTAGGTCGCGGTAATTATGATGCAATATGTGGACTACATAGCACTTATGAAATACAAGATATAGAAATATAGATAAGTTATAATGCTTGGGAACGATGAACATATTCTCATACTTTCAAAATATTGTTGTGCCAGTAAATGATTTGGGGGTTGGTTACAGGGTGCCTGTGTGACTCCCCATCCCCCTCCCCCCCTGCTAGCTCGAAATTAGTTGGTTAGCATTACTTGATTTTGTGACCTCTTCAAAATCCTACCAGTAGAATTAGGCCCATGCATGTTGTCTCACCTGTGACTGTACAAAGAAAAGTCATAAATAACAGGAGGAGAATGGCCAGATAAAGATTCCATCCCAAAGCCAGCCGAATAAAAAGGGCTCCTGAAAAAAGGTTAACCTAAAGAGGAAATAAAAAAAACAGAAATCTCAAAGAAATGCTAAAATAATGGTACACTAGTTATTGATAAGCTGACCAGTAAGAAGTGACATCCAGAGTAACAGGGGCCGGGGAGAGGTTGGCATCTTATTTCTCACATCGAGAAATCTAAAATTTACACATGTTCAAACCATATAAACAGTAAACCTTGAATTGAGGAATTGTGCTCTACATTTTGATATTTTCATATCACATGTAACCCATGAGCCATCCTGTCCTCCCCACATTGAATAATCAGGCAGCCTTCCTCAAGCATGACAATACTTATTCATCGATCTCATTGTAAATATCAATGCTTTCAGAAGAGTTTTTAATTAATTTTGAGGAATTACTTACAGAAATCTTGGTAAAGATGTACAGCAGCAGTGAAAGAACAGACAGCCAGATGCGGATCCTTTGTCCCCCATATCTCCTGTGAAGATACTCGGGTAGTGTACAAACCTGTTGCAAAACACATCAACACATAATTATTAACCAAATCCAAATAGACTGAGACTATTTTGTAAAAAAGGGACCGTCATTTTTTTTATTGGTGAGGCGAAGGTGCCATATTTGCTGGGTAACCATATATGCAATACAAGAAATCTAACTTTTAACCATAGTTTAATAGAGTTAATTCCCCTCTATTAACTACGTTTTAACCTCTTGTTGCATAAAAAATGGTCCTCCAACCCCTTGTTTTTCATTCAGTGCTGACAGTGCAACTCTTTGGTGGTTTTAGATTTTGTTACAGCAAAAAAACAAAATGTACATGCATAGCTAATGTCACTTTCCTGAATATTGCAGTAAAAATACAACGAATTTAAAATATTACCTTTAATACGCTAGTAAGAGAAATATTGCCCTGCACATCAGCAGCAATTAGTGTGAGTTGATCCTTGTAACCTTTAATATTTATTTAGAAGTCTTTTGCTTGCTTAAATTGCTGAATGACATGCTTGTAGAAGTGGTTATATAGCCATGCAGACTTACCCCTCCAGCAATGTATACTGGTATAAACACCCAACCTAGGAACTGAAGAAGAATCAAGGCCTAAATGGAAAAAAAAAAGCATTAATATTAATACACATTTAGATGCAGACAAGAAAATTCAGACCTTGAGTTTTTTCATTTTGATTGTATATGGTCTGTTTTACACACCGCTTACCAAACTTGCCTAGTTGGAATGATGAGTCATAGAGTCAATAATTGGAGTTTTTGGAATGAAAACTTGAGGTGGTTTTGGGAAATTTCCAGAGAAAAATAAAAATAAAAACAACAAGAGACAAGAGGGATTGTTTCAAGGTGTCAAAAAAAAAAAAAACCCAAAAAAACTTTTCTTTTTGACCTTAAAAATATTGTTAAAAATTTACAATAGATTCTCAGTTCCTTACATTAAATTCAAATGCTCCAACTCCAATGCCTGCAGCAGCACCAGAACCTGCCAACCCAATGAAGTGTTCACTGCCGATGTTACTGGCAAACAAGGAAGCACCAACCTGTGCAAGTGAACATTTTTATTAATTAAATTATGGTATTCTTGTATGTAGGCCGGGGGGGGGGGGGGG